TACAAAAAAAAAGAACTATAGGCCATTCAGTGTACCCATACATGAAATCTTGTCTCTCTATGACATGATACCTTACCGATTAGTTGTAACCAGATATTAAAAATCAAAATAAAATCAGACGGTTCTGTTGAACATCACGAAGCGCGTCTTGTTGCCGATATATTTTCTCTGGAGTACGATATTATTATGAGGAGACATTTGTATCAGTGCCCAAAATCACATCTATTTGAAAACTTATTGCTATTACAGCGAGTCAACACTGGGATTTACATTAGATGGACGTGAAAAAAATGGTAAACTTATAGAGACTATCTATGTTGTGCGCAGCGAAAATTTCGGCAGAGTTTCTGGTGCACAATAAGAAAGAAAGATCGATAAGAATTCATGTCTCACTAAGGAAACAAGAATCTGAAGCGAATATCACAACAAGGTGAGATATTGACTCTTCCTCTCATCAGTTCTAGGACTAACTTGTCGAGGGATCCTAAAAACTATTACAATGGCCACAAACACAAACAAACTAATTTTACGTAGTTCGGCAAACTACCTACGTCCATGGGGCAAGGAGGGGGAGCTCTACTATTAGAGAGGAGAGAATACAACTAGGGTTTACAATCACTCAATCTAAAATCTAACACAATCTCTCAAACCTCTCACACAATTATCTCTCTCAAAAACACAAAAGCCTATTTGCACGAAGCCAAAGAAAACCGCCAAAATCTCTGCGCCAAAGTCTCTGTTCTTTTACACACAAATCAGCCGCAGTTTTGCACCTCTGCATGCACTCAAATTCAGCCGCAGCCCTTAATTGCACACCCACCTAGGTTACAAATAACAAGCTATATATATAGCTTGGTGAAATTTGTTCGTGGGCTGGCCTGCTCCATTTTTTTTCTTCACGCGAAAATCGGTTCACGCGGTTTTCTTCACGTGAGTGGCCCCCACGTTCCACTTCGTTCACAATTCTCCACCTCGGTGAAGTTTTCTCAAAACTGAGCCGACGCCAACCAAAACAAATATCTCACTTGTTGTGTCCAGTACGTCATAAAATAATTCACGACAACGGACTCAATCCATAACAAGTCGAGAACCCAATTGAGAATACGAACACTCTCCAAATGTCGGTATCAACTCACCAAATCGATCTCACCCCTATCAAAATTCAACCCGCCTGCATCATAAAGACTGCCTACGTATCATCTTGCCAAAGGAATCAAGCCAAACGTAGTTCACCCAAATAACCTCCAAAGACATCAATCCAGTAGAAGAGTTCGCAACCCTTCTCCAATATCATCAACTCTGCGGCTGATAGCACCTCCAATAGCCTCAAACACCTCCACCTGAGGTGAACCAATGACCATATCCAAACTGAATCTATCAGCTGTACTCGAATCAATAGACCTATCATCTGCATCCGAATCCAAATGATCCCTAAGCTGTGTCACCTCAGCTAGAATCCCAAACAATGCAGTTTGATCTGGAGTAATCTTCACCCAATGTGGAGTAGCATCCATCTCCACCCGCTGTGATACATCTAAGGTCTGTCCAAAACTCTCCACCTGCTGAGAGTCAAATAGCTCCCTCATCGAAGCCTCAACCGAAGTGACACAACCAGACCTATCTTCCAATAGAGTTTTACCTCCAATCATAACAGTTGACAACTCTTTAATAGGATAACCCAAATATATCGAAGCCTCAGTCCAGAAACTCTTCTGCAAACCATTGCTTGACAACAATTACCGATCCTCCTCCAGCAAGGCACGGCTTTCTAAATTTACCATCCTATATAGTTGCCCCAAGATTTTCTTTCCAACAAAGTGTCTCGCAATGCCGTGAGCTCGGCTCCAATGCAGAAATATGTCCATCTTGTACCTCCTAACAAAATCAGAATGAAGTACCTTCATCTTTCTGTCCATCTTACACTTCTTTGTCCATCTTGTACCTCCTAACAAAATCAGAATGAAGTACCTTCATCTTTCTGTCCATCTTACACTTCTTCAAACTGTTAGAGACTACTAGGACTTTCTCTATGAAGTACCTTCATCTTTCTGTCCATCTTACACTTCTTCAAACTGTTAGAGACTACTAGGACTTTCTCTAATAGGGATTTGGTTACAACCCAAACACGCCTAGAACAGTCACCAACAAAGGAAACCAAACGCCTATTATCTCCCAATGATGCCCCCTTGGAAGGCCCCCAAACATCCACGTGAACTCCTCCAGAACGACCCTTAGCACGGTGAATAGAGGTGCCAAACTTTATCTCGGTCTTCTTGCTCATATCAACATGTTCACTGGACTTCAAACTGCAGGTCTTCGCACCCTCTTTCAATCTATACGAGGAATCAATACTGGAATGGCCAAGCCCCAAATGCCGCAGTCTAGTCGAATCAATAGAAGTTTCCAGTTCTCCACCTGCCACTATACCTCCAGTCAAGTAATACAGGTTATTCCTCCTGACGCCATTCATCACAATCCGAGAGTCTTTCACAATCTTGAGAACCATGTCCTCAATTTGAACATTCAAACCCTCTCTAACCAAAGCTCCAATCGAGATCAAGTTCTTTCTCAAAGAAAGAACATATCTCACATCATTTAACTCCCTAACAGTCCCGTCAAATATCTTGATGCGAATTCTTCCTATCCCAATGATCTGACATGCACGGTTATCAGCCATGTACACCACACCACTATCCAGCTTCTCAAAACTGGAGAACCATTCCCTTCTAGGGTACAGATGATAGGTCGCACCACTATCCAACATCCATTCAGATTCCTCCGAATAGCTATCTGTAGGATTGATAGAAAGCGAATAAATAAAAGAGTCAGAATTATTACCATCCGATACGATGTTTGCTTCTGATGATGGTTGCTTTCCTTTTCCCTTCTGCTTATTCTTCATCCATTCGTCGAGCTTTGGGCAGTCTTTCTTCTAATGACCAGTCTCCTTGCACTAAGCACACTGATCTTTTCCAATTGTAGGATGCCCTACTCTAGACTGTGACTTCCAATTCTTTCGGTTCGGATTCTTCCCTCTTGCGGCCAACGCTTCTGCTACCGACTCAGTCGAAGTCTCCTTATCCTTCTTCCGAAGCTGATAATTCATTAGTGCAGCAGTGATCTCACTATACAAAAGAGATGCCTTCCCATTAATCAGAGTAAGGACGAATGTCTCATATTCCTCGTCGGGCAAGGAACTCAACAACAACAACGCATTGTCCTCATCTTCAATCATGACATCCACATTCGCCAAATCCGCAAGAAGCTTTGTGTAGGTGTTCATGTGATCTCTAATTGAGTTTTCCTTCTTCAACTGGAAACGATAAAGTCGCCTCTTCAAATGCAAGCGGTTCTCAACACTCTTTGTCAGATACTTGCTTTCGAGAATCTCCCAAATCTTCTTTACAGAAGTCTCATTCATCACATCATATTTTAGATCTTGAGTCAAATAAGACCTAATCACACCACACGTCGTTCGATTCATCTTCTTCCAAACATTCTCTTCAATATCATCTGGCTTGTCATCTAATTCCAAGGTATCCTCCAAATTCTACGCGTTCAGCATATCGAAAACCTCGCATCTCCATAATCTAAAGCTGTTTGTGCCATTAAATTTCTCCACATCTATCTTCATAGAGTAGATATTCAAACTCTGAATGGTCTTCGTGCCATAAGCACCACCCTCGACACCTGAAGCACATTCTTTCCCCGATATCTTTCTCAACGCACCAACGAACAAAGAATAGATCCAAAACTGAAAAGATAGAGTCTTTTACCAAAAGATCCCACCTTTATCACCAAACAAAGCCCTAGACGAGCTTTCAAATCGATCTACTTCTCCAAATAGCCCAAGCGTAGCCCGAGCTCTGATACCACTTGTTGTGCGCAGCGAAAATTTCGGCAGAGTTTCTGGTGCCCAATAAGAAAGAAAGATCGATAAGAATTCCTATATCACCAAGGAAACAAGAATCTGAAGCGAATATCACAACAAGGTGAGATATCGGCTCTTCCTCTCATCAGTTCTAGAACTGACTTGTCGAGGGATCCTAAAAACTATTATAATGGCCACAAACACAAACAAACCAATTTTACGTGGTTCGGCAAACTGCCTACGTCCACGGGGCAAGGAGGGGAAGATCTACTATTAGAGATGAGAGAATACAACTAGGGTTTACAATCACTCAATCTAAACCCTAACACAATCTCTCAAACCTCTCGCACAATTATCTCTCTCAAAAACACAAAAGCCTATTTGTACGAAGCCAAAGAAAGCCGTCAAAATCTCTGCGCCAAAGTCTCTGTTCTTTTGCACACAAATCAGCCATAGTCTTGCACCTCTGCATGCGCTCAAATTCAGTCGCAACCCTCAATTGCACACCCACCTAGGTTACAAATAACAAGCTATATATATAGCTTGGTGAAATCTGTTCGTGGGCAGGCCTGCTCCGTTTTTTTTTTCTTCACGCGAAAATCGGTTCACGTGGTTTTCTTCACGTGAGTGGCCCCCACGTTCCACTTCGTTCACAATCTACCTGTAGCCATCCCCGGGGTTGATGCTCCTCCCTCTCATGTCTGTCATCTTTAATGTGCTCTCTGCGGCCTCAAACAGGCCCCTCGATCTTGATCCGAGCTCTTTCGAAAATCTACTCTCCCTATTAGATTTACCGAAAGCTCAATGCATTATGCCATGTTTTATCATACTTCTTATCAGAGCTCTATTTGCCACAAGCAAAACTATCACACGGGGCCTCATTGCAGGTAGACGATAAGATCCGTGGGCAATTAACCCTTCATTAATTTATGGATGATTCTATTTGTCCGACGTCAATAATTTGGTAAAAGATCGTACCCGTAAGATATTAGGTGGCATTAGAATATTCGTATATGTCATTCACAGATGAGCCCATGTTCCTATAAGCCCTGTTGGCATTGTTGCCTCGCCCCCCTACATCCGAGCACTGTTCTCGGCGCTGGGGGGAGGGGAGAGAGGGGTAGGATCGCCTGCATTTAATGCCAAAATCTAATGATGAGAGTCTCTGCCGCCATTGGAAATTAAACACCGTTCCCTTGTCTCTTTCCTGCTCACAGAACCCTGATCCTTCCTTCATTCCCTTGTTCTCAGAGCAACGCTTTCATCCCCCCCTCCTCTTCCTCTTTTCTTCTCAGCACCCGCGCGTTCTTCATTTTTCTCGAGTTTTTTTTGTTGTTGTTGTCAATGGCGGTCTAAACCCTAACGCTCCTCTCTACGTCAGCTTAGTTCATAACTATGGCCTTCATCTTCCTGTTTACTCCTTCAACTATTTTCACGAATACCCCCTTTACCCTTCAAACAAATCATGGTGGCTTTCTCGAGTCACTTATCTACAGCACCCTCCTCTTCCTCCTCCTCCTCCTCCTCCCACTCGCTGTCAATATTATCAGCATGTCAATGAGATGCAAGAAAAAGATGCTCGCACTGTTAATGTTAATGTAATTAACGTTAAGAGTAAGGAGATCAAGGCTAAAGGGAAGAGAAGCAGGCAATCCAAAGGCACGAAGGTGAAAGCAGCAGCAGCAGCAGCAAAAGAGCCTGAGAAAGATATTCAAGAAGCCGGAGTTCTCCTCTCCAAAAAAACCACCACCCTAATGATCAGAAATCTCCCCAACAAGTTTGAGTAATTAACCTACTACGTACTCTCAATCTATAGTCAATTACTTCATCATCGGCGCCTATATATTTCCTTTTAATTTTGTTTTATTAATTTATTTTTTGGTACAGCCAAGAGAAGGTCCTAGATTTGCTTGATGAGCTGTATCTACCGATTGATTTCAGGTTCTAATTTTGAGTATATAACTGTTGCTCAACTCCTAGCTAGCTTTGTGCGTTGCTTATGTTTCAATTATATTTGATTTGAGATGCACCCAAAAAAATTTATTTTATTCTCTTTTTGCAAAATTAACGGGTTAATTTGTGAAGTGTGCCCATGAATAAAGTAAAACCTTTCGTTTGTAAATGGAGCAGCACAGGATGCAACTACGGGTATGCGTTTGTAAATTTAACCGCTCCGGCGGCAGCGCAGCGGCTTTATGATGATATGCATGGAAAAAGCTGGAAGGACTTTGGTTGCCCTAAGGTCTGTCAAGTGACCCCAGCAAGAATTCAGGTGAAGTTTCTTCTCATCTCGTCTCGGGTTTTCGATATTATATGCATTTACTGGTGACTTTGCAGCTTCTCGTTGAATAAATGTGACTCAATTGCGAGTTTGAAGCCTAGATTTATAGGAAATAGTATACCATGTGGTTTACATTTTTCATACCATGGAATTTTTCATACCATGTGGTTTGCAATTTTCATACCATGGAATTTGGTTTTCGACATAGGACACATGAATCAAACGTGATTTTCGAATAAGAACTCAGGATTTCTGTTAGGTATATATCCCGAACCAAATTCTCGTGCCATCAAATGAGAATTTTTGGTTGAATTTTGCTCCTGGTGAACACTAAATTGTAAGTGAATGTAGGGTTTTATCAAAATCCCTTGCGTGCGTCAAAATCTTCGGATATTATATTCCGTGATCGGAACCGCGAACGAAAATATTTTCAAGGGTTTATCAAAAATCCTTTACGCACGCATCAAAATGTTTGGGGATTATATTCCATGATTTCCTACGTAGGGCTTGATAGGAAGTCTCCTTTACTTCTATAATAATTGAAGATTGAAGATAGTGCTGTTTGTAAGCCTGCCGAAGCTACTATTAGCTTCGCTCGGATTTTACTTTTTCACCGGTATATTTCTAGTTTAGTTGATGTTGCTTCGTTGTGGCAGGGACTTGGTGCACTTTTAGGTCATTTTAGGGACTCAGTGTTCAGGTGTGAGAAGGGAGAATATCGTCCAGTCTATTTTACTGCCGCAATGGCTTGCGCTCCACTAACAAGCACCACATTGGACGCCACATCCCTTGCTGATTTATGGACTGGCTCGGTTTGAATGCATGCTTTTCTCTGTCTCATTTTCTATCTTTCTGTGTACTACGCGTGCTTGGAACTTTCATGAAATGGGCGGATAGAAGAAGAGAGACAGAGATGAAAGCTAATTAGTAGTAATGTTGTCTGCTTTAGTTTTACTTTTGGCTGTAATATGATGAACGAGCTGAATCACCCCGAGACGATGTTCGTGTAAATATGTAGCTTGTTGGTTTTTTTTCCCAATCTTATGTGCACTTTCGCGATCACATAATGCTCCTTGAGGGTTTGGTTTGTGTGGTCTTGTATGAATGCATGTACGGGAACATGGCTTGTGTTGTGCACCGAATGATGGCTATGGCTTTCCATCAAGTTCTTTGCGGAGGAAGATTATGTTTGTTGGTTATGCCTATGAAATTGTTATTACATGAAGTTGGTGCAATGTTAGAAGGTTATTTTCATCGGAGCTCGGCATCCTTGTATTTGAGCACACTGGTTCCAGTCTTGAAAACCTTCTCTTGCAACGGTGAAAGGTATGTGCATATGTAACAATATTGATAGGTTATTTTGTTCCACTATATGTAGTTTTTGTTGGAAGTAAACTTACTTAATTACCTTGAGAATTGAAGAAGTTATTTAGTTACTGGAGGAGTCATGTATGAATATATTAAATACTAAGGTAAGGAGAAAAATCAAGGATTTTTTTTTTGGTCCATGAAAGTATTCATTCATTTACCATTTATGAAATGTTTAGTACATCACTTTTACCAGCAAACATCCTGGTAATCAAAACAAAAAGAAAAAATTTACATTCTCTCAATTGTATATTTCATATGAACAGGAATAGAGTCATTCAAAATTTTTGAGAAGATAGTAACTTTGATTGCTCGAAATAGAATTCTTGGCTCTCTTGCTTTTCCTTGAAATATTCTTAAATTCCTTTCTTGCCAAATCAAATACACTGTTACTGAGAGTGCCATCCTCTTCATCATCTTCAAGAATCCCCTCCCCTTCAAGTTTAAAGAATACCAATTGATGATTTGTATCCAATCACATGATTTCCATGAAAAATTCATCCATTCCATCACTTCATTCCATATTTCAGCAGCAAACTGACACTCAAAAAATAGGTGTCTAATTGTTTCAGGTTGGCTTCTAGAACAGAGTACACACTGGTTTTGTTCAATCTCCAAAATACCCAAACGACACAACCTGTCCATTATGAGAAGTCTAGAGTGGCAAGCTAACCATAGAACAAAAGAATGCTTAGGATATTGATATCCTTTCTATACTGTGTCAAACTAGCCCACTGGAGGAGAAGATTGAATTAAAGCATAGTACACAGAAGATAAATGAACTTTATCATTTGTGCAGCAGTCATACATGAATCTGTGCAGGTTGTCTTCATTTTCAAATTTTTCAAGCACCAAATTTCTGACTTTGAGGAGTTGTTTCCACATCCATGAATCATTCACTTTACTTTGAACTTGCTAAATATTCAAAGATTGTAAGTAGTTTCCATGTATCCATTTGATCCATAGCCAATCTTTTTTCAAGTGTATCATCCATAAGAGTTTAGTTGCAGCAGCAAAATTCCAAACCTTTGCTGAAAATAGACCCAGTCCCCCATTCTTCTTACTTTGACAGATGGTATTCCAGGATATCAAATGAATCTTATGTCCCCAAAGGAAGTCAGAGCACAGCCTATCTATTTTTTCCAAGGCTTTGAATGGTAAAATATAGTTACTGATCCAATAGGTTTGGATTCCCAGAATTGTTGATTTTATAAGTTGAAGCCTTCCTGCATAAGATAGTTGCCTTTGATGTTGCCAGGTTTGAAATTTACTTGATATCTTGTCAATAAGAGTAGAACAATCAAGGTAAGTGAGTCTCTTAGCATTGAGTGGCAGTCCTAAGTACTTCATTGGCAAACTTCCCTTCAAGAAGCCCAAATAGTTGCAAATATGATTTTTCAAGCTTTCATCAATACCACTCAAATACACTGAGCATTTGCTAGCATTAGCTTCCAACCCAGAGACCTAACAGAACTCCTGAAAACATTAGTACAATCTAGTGATAGAATTCATGTCAGCTTTACTAAAAAGAAGTAAATCATCCGCAAAGATCAAATGTGTGATTTTTAGCCTGAAACATTTAGGATGATACTTGTAGTTCCTGTCATCCTGTAGAGAGCTCAATTTCCTTGAAAGATATTGCATACCCAAGACAAATAGGTAAGGGGATAAGGGGTCACCTTGCCTTAATCCCCTAGCTCCATGAAAATAACCATGAAGTGAACCATTAAGAGATAGTGAGAACTTAGAGGATGTTATGCACTCCATAATCCAGCAAATCACAATACTTGGAAAGCCCAGACCAGTTAGCATATCTTTTAAGAAATTCCAGCTTATGGTGTCAAAGGCTTTTCTCAAGTCAACATTTAGCATAGCTCTAGGGGAAGTGTGCTTTCTACCATAGCTTTTAATGAGCTCATGAGCTAATAAGAAATTACTAGAGATAAGCCTCCCCTTAATAAAAGCACACTGAGCTTCATTTACCAAGTAACCCATGTGTTTTTGAATCCTGGTAGCAATTATTTTAGTGATAATTTTATATATCACATTGCAACAGGAGATTGGTCTGAAGTCTGATGGTGTAGTGGGATTGAGGACTTTTGGAACCAGTGTAATTGAAGTAGAGTTAAAAGAGCCAAGAAGTTTGCCAAATGAGAAGAACTCTTCAACAGCAAGGAACAAGTCCTCTTTGATAATATACCATGTAGACTTGAAGAAAGAGGCATTAAAGTCATCAGGACCAGGAGCTCTAATATCTGACATTGAGAATAAGGCTAACCTAATTTCCTCTCTTGTGACAGGAGCACTGAGTTCAGAGCACTGGCTAGAGGTTAGAACAGGACCATTTGAGATCACATTTGGATTAGGTGTAGCAGTGAATTTCCCAGTCCCAAGCAGCTTCTTGTAGTAGCCAATGAATTCTGAAATTATTTCAGGCATCTCAGTGATTCTAGCACCACTCTCTGAATAGATAGATAAAATTCTGTTTTGATGTCTCTTGGTTTTCATGGCAGAGTGAAAAAATTGAGTGCACTTATCTCCATGAAGCCCCCAACTGATATTAGCTTTTTGCCTATAAAAGGAATTTTCACATTCTAATAGTTTGGTATATTTCCTGACACACTCTTTTTCTTTTGATATCAATGTTGGGTTGAAAAGATCTGAATTCAGTTGCACTTGAACATCCATAAGTTCAGATTTGGCTCTTGAAACCTGTTCACTGATGTGCATAAAGTGCTTCTTATTCAGATTTTTGAGTGCAGGTTTAAGTTTTTTGAGCTTGGAAAACAACCTGTACATGTTATAGCCACCAATATTCTGGTTCCAGACAGAATTGACCACTTGCAGATAGTCATGATGTTTAGCCCACATACTAAAGAATTTGAAGGGCTTTTTACCATCCAAATTATCTTCACCAACAGTTACTAAACCTGGGGAATGATCAGAGCACAGAGGCATTAGAAATTCAACCTGACTAACCAGCACCCTATCAATTTTGCTCCATACTCTTGAATCCGCTTCCTGTTTGTTACACCATGTGAAATAACATCCAATTGTTTTGATATGCAATAACTGACAGGAAGATATGAAGTTTTGGAAATCCTCAGTTTCAGAGTCAGATACTTGTGCACCTCCTAATTTCTCATCATTATTGATTATGGCATTAAAATCTCCCCCTACCAGCCAGGGACAGTTAACTCTCCTTTTAAATATCAAAAGTTTCTCCCAGAGATCTTTTCTCCCCTCCATTTGATTGAGGGCATAGACTATTGTGACAAGACAAGATAATTTCCCATCTT